GTGTCAATAAAAGATATAGCTCGGATATCACCAAACCTACGGGCCCTGCGGCTTGAAGATGTTGATACCCTTACGGAAAGTTTGGATCCTGTTACAACCCCTATCCTCCTTGAAGAGCTTTCGATGAACACAACCAGGATCTTCAAGGAGGGCGATGATACAAATGTGTTTCCCGCGTTGACAAAATTGCGCTCTGCAACGCTATCCAGTAAGTCGCTTTTACCCCTTACCTGTAAGCCGCTTATGTCTGTCCCCAATATTAATTTGTAGTTGATCACTTCCTCGGCTATTCGACGCTGAACACTTTGTTGCTCCATTGCTCGAAAACCCTCCACCACTTGAAAGTGATGTCCCGAGGTGAGACACTAGACAACCCATTCTATTGGGTATCAAGAAATCTCCAGTCCATCAAGGGCACAAACATTCTCGAATCCATCAGCATCTCGATTCCCTATAACCCGACTAATGCCGGTTCCGATGTCGCATGGCAGACGCTCGACTCAAACTTTGCCAACCCATCAACAGATTTCCCCCACCTTCGCAACTTTCACCTGCAGGTTGCTTCCGGGGCTTATCACGCACTTGACCTGAATGCATCCAAGAAGTATTGGAAGCGTTCTGAAAGTTGTTTGACAAATTTGCGGGAAGCCAAGGACATCTGTTTCACCATGTCTGTCGATTTCTTCGGGATGGATGGCCAAATCCTGAGGAGGCATACACAAACCATTGTTCAATGAGGACTTATTGAGTGGGGAGGTATTGATTTTGAATGGTGGCTCTTTGAAGATACAACAGATGGACAGGGTCGATAGAGGAACGTTGACATTCATAGAAAGAACATATTTCGGATAATTGTACAGGAATAAATTTATGGAAGCATAGGGACAACAGATAAATAACCCGAACGAGAAAGAAAATGGTATAAAAAGTACAAGAGATCTTAGGATCGAATTAATCATCAACCCGTCTTCGTCCTGGTCCTCGCGGTTCTGCTCGTCCCTGCTGCCTTGGCCTTGGTTGCCTTAGCTGGCGCATCAGGGATCTCAGCAGGCACATCTTCCGCCTTCGCCGTCACCTTCTTCGCCGTCGTTCCTCGGGTCCGAGAAACTCTGACCTTAGTCTGACCTTCCTCTGTTTCCCCAACCAAATCTGACCCAGATCCCGAGCCAGACATGTTCTCCTTGCCCTTGTCCACCATAGTGGCAGCAGGAGCAGTAGCCGGAGTTCTCAGTTTACGCCCTTTAGTCGCAGCAGCAGTTGTTGCAGGCGTAGTGGTATTGACACGAGTACTGCGACTGGTCTTGGCTGGTACCAGTGCAGCTGGCTCAGGCTGAGCATCTTCTTCCTGTTTGATGACCTTCTTCGTCGTTCGCGTGCGCGATGCTGCACCTGGGATTTTCGTAGCACGACTACGAGCAGCAGGTGCGGGAGCGGGAGTCTCCGCTGGTTCCTCAGCCTCATTGTTAACATCGTATGAGTCAAGAGGGTCTTCTTCCTCAGCTCCCTCCTGGATTGGCCGGGCGCGACTACGAGATTTAGTCGCTGGCTTCGTCGCTGGAATTTTAGACTTTGCCTCAGTTGAAGCTGGTTTCTTGGGACGTCCGCGTTTGGGAGCTGTAGGCTCTTCCGCAACCTCAGGTTCCACCTCCTGCTCATGCTCCGGTTGTTCCTCAACCGTTTCTGGGGCCTCGACGCGAGGTTTACGTCCACGTCTACCCGTGGTAGTTATAGGAGTCTGCAACTCTTCCTCGTTGTCCTGAACTTCAGGATCTGGTGTTGCAGCAGCCTTGCGTCCACGTCGAGTAGTCGCTGGTGTCTTGGATTTCGAGGGAGGCTTGACGCGAGTTGTAGAGGATTGGGCAGGGGTTGGGATGTCCTCAGAACTCTCCACTTCCTGAGGAGGCTGAGGAGACTTCGTCCGGGTCCTGGTCGCCGGGACAGCGAGGCTGGTTGAAGGTGGCTTGGATCTGGAACGAGAAGGTGGTTTTCGGACAGGTTGAACAGGCTTTAGATGTAGGATGTTAGCTTGAACCATACGTTTTCAAAGACAGATGTAAATACCTCTTCAGTCTCTTCAGGCTGCGCAACAATGGGTTCCTTTTCTTTTGCAGGCCTAAGCAAGCGGGAGCGGGTCTTCTTGGGAGACGGTGCTTTTGCAACAGGCTCTGGCATTTCCTCTTCACTTTCCATCTCAACATCAGCATCATCGCCGACGACGACTTCCGGCAGGGGAACAGCTTTGGCCGAGAAAACCTCCCCTTCCTTCTCGTTCTGAATCTTGGTTGGGAACATTTGCCCACTGGATCGCCGAGATTGTGCCTCCTCACGGCCGGCGGGGCGTAGGAGACTGAATGTTGGAAGCTCCGTCTGGTGTGGACTCCCAATGTCCTCGGGATCTGATTTGTCGTCCGGGTCTATAGCCATTGTAGTCGTTGGAGCAGTGCGTGGAGTTGAAAGGGCTGGCTTTGGAGTGATAAGAGCAGGCTCATAGATCTTCCTGCCTGGAGTAGTGGATACAACACTGAAATCCAGCTTTTTGATGGGTCCGAAATTGGACACACCAACACCGACGCTGAGACGTGGAGCCATGGAGGCACGCGTCGTAGCTGAGGGTTCCGGTCGAATTTCGGTTTGTGGATGCCCAAACGGAGGAGGGAATTGGGGAGTCGAACCTCCAGCCGCCATACTTCTGCGTCTCTTGAGATCTTCGACAGTGTTCTTCATTCGTTCCATGAGAACCTGTGTATCCAATGGATCTTCGTCTGAGTCCTGGCCCGATGATGGAGTCTCCTTTTCATCTTGTTCTGTGATGGTAGCATCCAAAGGTCTACCTTTGGTGGGAGAACCAAGGTCAGGTTTGGTGGGGGAGGCACTAGCCCTCCAGGTGTTGACACCTGTGGTTGATGTCGTTGACGATAATGTCTTGCTGGGACTCATGCCAGGGATACCACCAGCGAAGAAGTTGTCAGGCTGTCTCACAGCACTGCGACGACGTTCCTGAATGGCTTTCTTTTCTTCCAAGGTGAGTTTGGGCGTGGCTTTGATGGGAGTGTTCTGTACCGGTGGTGGTGGAGGCCGGATGGGCGATGCTGCACTCGATGGATGTGCGGGTGCAGGGGGTGGGACAACAAGGTCTTTAACCTTCCATGGCCGCTGCACAACAATACGACGTGCTTCTCCTCCTCCCAAGGAGAAGCGACCAGATGCCCCGGCGCCTGGTTGAGAACTCCCAACAGTGGGAAAAATTCGCTGATTTGCAGCTGTTGGATGTTGGGGAGTCATGAATGAGCCCAACGTTCGCCTGATTGGGGTTGATGCAATGTTGTGGTTAGGCAGGGATGCAACAGCATCACCTGTCTGCATTTCATCGTCTCCGTCATCACTCTCTGATTCATCCTTGGGTGCATCAGCTTTCTGATTGTCATTTTCGTCTGGCGGTCGCTAAAGAAATGTTTAGAATCAAATCGTGCGTAAAGATAGAAGGGAGCGAGCTACCTCTGGGGAAGCTGACCGGAATGGCCACATCCTCTCCAGTGATTTCCTCCACAACGATTTCTGCTGTTCAGTCGGCCGTTGAGGTTCATCGTCCTCATCCTCATCATCATCATCCGTTGATTCACCATCTGAGCGATCTTCGTCAACATCCCCTGGAGAACGCATCTCAACGTCTTGAATGCCGTCATCCTCTTCTAGTCCTTCATCATCCCTGATAGCGTCTTCCTCTTCTTCGAGCACTGTGCCGAAAACTTCCGCTTCCTCTTCCAAATCCTCCTCTTCCTCGCGAACCTTCTCGGCCCTAATAACAGCTCTCTGCGCACTTCGAATTAATACAGCTCGATGCAGTGCATTGCTGGCCAAAGAACGTCTGCGAGGTGTGACTGGAGGTTGTGCAGGACTTTGAGTGCGAGGGACAGGCAGCGGCGCGTCTTCCAAAATAATCAGGTCCTTTTCTTCTTCGACAACTCGTGGATAGTTGGTTTCAACGAGAACAATCTGCTCCTCTTCCTCCTCATCATCATCATCGTCGAACTTGGGAGCTGGAAGTGGAGACCCGGGTGTCTGAGGTCGAAGCTTGGATGGACTCTTCATGAAGGCTGGTTTAAGAGGGCTCTGTAGAATCCTCAGGTTTTCCCGAGGATCTTTCGACGGTCGCGGTGAAAAAACTTCTGCAGAGTTGATCATTGACAAACGCAAGGCCCGGCGTTTTTGCTCTATTTAAAAGTGAGTCTGCAGCAAACAGGGTTGAGAAGTGGGCAACGAACGTGGAGGTGTATCAAAAATGGCTCTTCGGGTTTCTTTTGGAGGATAGCTAAAGCGAAATCGTTTGCCATGAACCTCGAACACTGAGTGGTTCGTTAAGGGTATGATGGTTTGTGGCACATCCTGGGCGCCAGTGGATGGGTTTGCCAGTGCAGATGTATGAGGGTAAACCTGGCATCCATCCATGCTAACCCCAGATGCTCCAATGATTGTTAAAAATGCCTGAAAATGGGAGGTCTATATCGCCTCTGATAACTCTGGAGGTTACGTTAAACTACTGACCTTGTGTTCCTCATTAAATACGATCTTGCAATGCACTTTTTCTACGTCTGGGTAATATAAGCGCACATCGCAAGATGTTGCACTCCCAAAGGTAAGGGGTGCTGTATCAACCCCAAAGGAAGTGACAATGCTTGATTCGTCTGAAGAAACGTTTCCAGCCTTCAGAAGGCTTAAAGTTCCATATCGACCGACTTGGTCGAATCCTGAGGTATCCATGGGCGTCTAATCTCCTTCTCCTCCAAGTATTCGACCGTGGTTCTTGATGTCGGGGGTCTTCTTACCCAGCTGTGGTGGTAATTTGAGTTCAACCAACCCCCAATTCGAACCAGAGCTCTGTGATCACGACGTGTGACATCTTGTGACAGACGCGTGTTAAGGTGAGTCATGTGACCGTCGCGTCCGTGATAGAATGCGCGTCACCGGAGACCAGCGGACAATCATTTACCCCTTACGTCGAAGGGCCCTTGGCACAGTTGGTAGCGCGCACGCTTCGCATTATTAAAAATCGACTGCGTGAGGTCGAGGGTTCGACTCCCTCAGTGTCCACGGTTTATTTTTCTTTTTTCAAACAGGCATCTAACTTGCAGCCGTGTATGTACATGTTTTTTTAACTGGTATGTCTTGTAAAGCTACTACTTATGATACCATCCAAAAACCCTTACACCAAAACGGGAACGCGAAGTGTTCGAGATGGTTGTGGTAGTCCATCAGTAGTCCTGCCCAAATTAAGAATCCTAACCGACCGTTGTAGTTAAAGTTGCCTAGGGATCTGTCAATATACTATCCCTCAGTAAACTTGACAAAGGGAACTTACGCCAGCAGCTATTTGGATCCGTCAAATTTACAGTCTTGCACTGCATACCAAGATGAAGGGCTGTCCCTCCAACCGTAATGACATAATAAATAGGCCCATGCCCGTTGAGGTATCCCACTACGATCAGCATTTGCAGAAATATGGCACCGCAAAGGACGAGAAGGGGTCGGATCCATTCGCCAAACAGGATTGCTGTGGAGCGCACACCCGCCTTGACGTCGTCTCGAATATCCTGACAAGCGTAGATGGTGTCTGGCAGCAGGAGTCAAATCAACAAAATCCTATATAGGTGTTTAATAAGTTGTTACCATATAACATTGTCCAGCTATCGTGAGCAATGTCAGTGATGGAACAAAATCTGGGAAACACTCTACTCACCACCAGCACCCCATAAGCGCGGGGATGACAACCCAATATTCGAATGTGCCAGTAATTGTCGTCCATGCAACAGGAAACCCGAGATTCATGGCAATGCCCAGCCACGCTTGAGGCCAGTATGTGATCCTTTTAAGCAAAGGATATATGGCGAACCTTCAGCATATTGTTAGATTAAATTCGGACTCAACGACGAAGGGGCCCTTACACTGGTAATAATTGGACGAGCGCAACTGACAACCTGTGAGAGTTAAATGAATAATGTTCTGCAATTGGCATAAATATTGCTCAAGTGAACGTACCCCAGAGTCGGTAGGGTAAGGGTGAGGAATGTGACAGAGATAACATACTGGAAGACGAGAAAGATCAGTGCGGAGCGCACCGATATACGTTCGCTTGGAAGAGGTCGACTTTTAGTTCTTTCTGTCGGATTCGAAGTACCCGAAGTTAATACGGAAAACTGAAGACAATTCACACATGTTCGCTCACCAACAGCAGCATCGTATTTTACGTCTAAAATGTCATTCACGGTACATGCAACTCCTCGTAGAAGAATTGCATATATCGCAAATTGGACGAGGTATGTGACGTATATCTCGAAGGAGAGATGCGTCCTGTGTGCAGCCATTGTGAGTCCCCAAGCTATTCACACTCTTGAGCACTGAGCAATTGGATGGATGGTTCTGGACTCTTACCAAACGGCCAAAACATCAATAGGCTCCCCGTTGGCTAGTATAATGAGCGGTGTAAATGACAGCGAGTTCCAGATAAGACAACCAAAGACAAACCTTCTCTAGCCTTACTAGCTCGATATACGGCCATAATCCCATGGGTATGATATTGAAGCGGGAGTTTGGACTTGAACTGTCGATGTGCTGTTTCTCATTGAAATATAGAGGGAGGCCTTTTGATGAACCGGAGTCAATGGGTTCTATATCGGTCGGTGTCACAACGGCCCTGGAACAACTAATATACATCATCGCGGTACGGTCCATCAAAAAGTGAAAATTGGATGTAGGCCAAGGCCCAAAAGCATTTGCTCACCTGCTAGTGCACCGCCCCGTATGATTACCAACGAGGTATACTCGCTTTAGTCTGTAAATAATGAATCCACAAGGTGGGGTTGTATTAACAAAAGGTTCAGCGTCAAGTCCAACGTTCGATCGACGGTGAACCAGACAGGTGCTGTCCAGAAAGGGAAGTAATTACCTAAAAGAGGCACCGAAACTCGAAGCCGCTTCGTTCGAAAGGTCAAGCGAGGGGAGATTTGCAGTGAAGGTGCTAACCATGGTCAAGAAAGGGGATGAAATGCATTCAAAGGCATTGGGAATGAGCTTTATACCAGTGAGGCTCACAAAACGTCTTCTTTTGTTCAAGCACTCTGATCTTGCAAAAGGTGGATGTCAATGAACTTGAATCATCACACGCCAATTTCTGACGGTGGTGATATCTTCACTAAATTCAGTACACCGTCACCATTTTGATGACCACAATCTTGGTTTACACCAAGAAAAAAAGTCTTAATTTATACAACCACATGGCATTAAGCTCCCGACACTTTCTGAGGGCAAATTTGATTCAGGTAATCTTGCCAATTCAACGGCGAGCCAAGTAGGGGTGTGAGGCAATCAAGGTCACCGTCCTAGGTTGGAACTTAGATTGGCAATAAAGTCGAACGGTAAGCTGAATAGTTAATCTGGGAGCTAACAGTCTAGAAGATCTTCCTTCTACCCCCTGCACGTTAGTCCATTACTCTTATGACCATGAAGCATACCGTTTGCCTCGGACTCCACCCCCAGGGAAAGGTTTCCATTTTACTTTGGAAAACTATTGAATGTAGGTACTCCTTGGAAATAACTCATGGAACATCTACCTTGTAATATCTGCTCAGAATTGATGTGTACCGCGAAAGGCACCTTTACTTGGACAATTCATTCGATTACCTTCCAAGGACATCCGAGGGACAACCTTTGTGCCTCATCGGTCAGGTCGGGAGCGCATAATGGCCATCCTGGAGTGTTTCTACTGGAGACTTCGACGTGCAAACATTTCTGTACTTCATGTCAAGCCATGTACTAAAGTGGGCTGGTTCTGTTCTCGTCGTTTCAGAGAATTTCGGGGTCAGGTCACCGATCGCCAACCAAGTCTTGCACTCTGTCTACCGATTTCTGGGGTCAACCTTCCAACAGAAGCAGGGATGAATTATAAGGTAGAACCCGGAACTTAAAACCCTTTGAATATGGATGCTATTCCCACCGTTGGAATTTGTTTGTGTAAGGAGGCAAGAATGGTCCAGTTCTGCCGAGCTACAGTCAACGGCCGCTGATCAAAGGCTGAAGACCGGTACTGCACAAAATTTCGCATATGCATTCCACGAAACCGGACGATTAGCCTTCATACATTTGATTATAAGCGTGCATGCATCATTTGAGCTCAGAACACGACCACAACTCCGTTGGCACGGTAAACCCTTGATCGTGTTCAAACCTGGCGCTAGCGTGAAAGACTAACGTTCAGTAAAATGATAAAAGCCTCTGTGCCAATAAGAGGGATATAGAACGATGCGATAATACACCATCTACCTTCGATCCCCGAATCGTACGGTGCAGGTTAAGTCGATGTGCCATGCGCTTAGCCCCCCGTAGAGCACGTAAAGAGGTTCAAATTGGGTCATAGGGATATCACCACGGAAATTGGATACCGTAGGAGGGATTGAGCAGACAGAATCGATGCAACGACAGCAGATAGGAGCGATAGATGGTCGCAACGGCTCCCCTGTCCCGAGATAGTATTGCCCATGTCGTCCGGCAAAATCGGACGCCCAAACCCCAACCATCTCAGATATAATAGGATAACCAAGCAGAACAAGACAAGTAGGAAGGAGAAAATTATTTGGTTGAAGAAAGTGATTATCAATGTTAAGGTTCAACATTACCACCATAAAACGGAGGCGCACGACATCTGGAAGCGCTTTCGTGCGAGAAAAACCTAAGAGTAAACCTGAAAAACGGGATGAGATATCGTGCAAGGTCGTAATGATACAAAGTGCAGAGCCACAATTACAGAGATCACTGTGTTTCCCCGAAATACTCTTCCACTAGAGCTTTCTTGCGAAGATTAAGTAGGACGTTCTCCATTTCGTCGTGCGAGGGTAGCTTTGGAGGTAAAAGGTGTTCCACATCAAGAAATGGAATGAAAGACGCGGCGACCTGAGCATGTAGTCGAGCAGCATCCCCATTTGATGGCGCCTCCGAGGAAGGGATTGTAGCTGAATCTTGAGTCGTTTTGGGTTTTTTAGAGTCATCACCGCCATCCATATTCACATCTCCATCTTCGTCATTGGCTTTCCGTTTGGAAGCTGACTGAGGCGGCTGTTGAGTCAGAGAGGACGGCGGCTGCGAAGAAGGTTCAGGTCGTGGAATTTTTGGGGTTGGTTCAGATGCAGGAAGACCAAGTGTCTCCCTAACATGATCACAATCTTCCTCCCATTCTATGAGAACGAGGTTAGTACTTCATTTCTGGTAAAGTAAGTAATAAGGCTTACTCTCATCCTCTGCTTCACGTTCGTAGTCTAGAACCTTGCTGTTGACTTCGTCTAGATCACCATAATAAGCAGGTCCTTGGTTCATGAATTTCTTGTAGTACGACACAGCTTCACTCTCCTCTTCCTCGTCCTTTTTACGACTTTCAAACAATTCACGGACACCAGGCAAATCTTTTGCTCGTCCAAAGTATCTAGACTCCCGTGAGTAATGCACATTTATTAAAAGAGTAAAAACTTACTTGTAACCTTTCGTCCCAGGGACCTCTTTGCCATCGTCATCCAACATGGCAACATTCCTTCGGTAATTGGCTCCTCCAAGAGCTACAATCTGGTTTTCCCAATGTCTCTTTTCGCGCATAAGCTTATTGATTTCGTCGTTAAGATCTCGGACTTCATAGTCCGTCAAACCAGCTGGAGGAAATGATGGTTAAATGAATGTTTGTCATGGGGTAATTAGGGACATACCATCCTGAATCTTGGATACTTTTCGACTGATCTCTCTTAGAATTTCACCCCTCCATCTCTCACATTCCCTCAAGCTTTTGCATGCGCTAGCCATACGGGGACGGCGATCTGAGCGCGTTCCAAGACCCAACTCCGCTGCCTGGGCCTCGCGAAAGCGATAGAGCATGGATTGTGCTTTCTCCTCATTACGAGCCTAATAATAAATTCATAAGTACTTGCTTACTCCTTGATAAATGATACATACCATGTTGTCAAAGAATTATAGTAATGTCGGGATGAAGGTCGTGCTCACACCTGGAATCGAAATTCGGTTGTTGAGTGAATGCTTTAACCAATTAAGACCAAATA